AACTCTTTATCTGCAATGACAAAATCTGTGAATACTCATGGTAAAGAAGGAAATTCTTACCTGGGGTTGTAATAGTCCTTTCCAGGCCATGTCACAGAAGGGTTATCTCCAACTTTATGTTCAAACGTGTCATACCGGCCAAAACACAAGTCTAGCCCTCCAATAAAGCAAACCTGATTATCGACGATGACGAGTTTTTCATGGTGAGACCTACAAAGACATGTAGAGGTAATAATCAATGTCCTTCCCATGTATTTTTGTGGCCAGATAGGAGTTTATTAAAGTACAGTTTATCTAATATCAAACTCAGAAAGATAAACTAGAAAGAAAGCATTGTGATATATTAGAACTGTCCACCATAACATACCAGAGGTAGACACCACTTGAGAAATGATCAGGATAACGAAGTACCCGCACATTCTCATGAATGCCAAGAAGCCTGCGTTTGCTATATACACTGTTGATCTTTAAAGCAAGAGCAACCTCCTTGTAGAGAAGGATGTATATCTGAAAAAAAGATAATAATAACAAATAAAAACGTTGGAAATCCACACACTGCATTGACAATTTACATCTCTACACTGTTGAAAAAGCAGAAGTAATCACCTTGAGTATAGAAATGTAAAAAAATATGATTAAACACACTCATTAAAATAAGAATATTGGAAATCAATATGTCGACGATAGAAGAAAGGAAACAAAACAAAACCGAAGTCAGCATTCAATTTTAACCAAGATTATTTGAAGGTATAATAAGCATTGAATAAACTAAAATCAATTAAAAAATTCCATTGAAAAAATAATTCTAATTGTTGAAAGGACAGGGGGAAAAAAAAAGATCACAGCCCAAACTATTTATGTTTACCAATTTTTCACCAAGTATAAATGAAAACTATGGCTCTTTTAGAAAATTTAAAGATTCTTTGCAATAACAAACAATAAGTCTTAAAGGCATGCTACCAAAAAGAGAGGTATAGCTTTCAGTGGAAAAGATCCAAGAAAGCGAGTTTCTAATCCATCCAAGCCTGACAAGTACGATATCCACTGCAAACTACAGACATGCTTCACAACAGAAAAAAAAAAAAAAGAAGCTATTAAGTCCATGCATGTTCTGTAGTATGTACCTGAACTCCTTGCTTAGCTTTATTCTCCAACAAATTATCAAGTCTGGATGAAGTATGCGGGTCAAAAGGGCGCCTAAGATAGAGTTCTGGGCACACCCACCAGCCACAGATGAAAATCTACAAGGAAAATCAGATCAGTTGAAAATATATAAAATTTAACACCTCATCCATCTCCACACCCAGTAATAAAAAGTGGTAGACCTCAGATTTAGCATTTTCAATCGCTGCAGCAATGGCTGCAAAAGCTGCCCCACCATCTACAAACCACTGGGCTTGACTTCCGTCATCTGTCAAACCCCTCGGTGGAGCATATGAGCCAAAGCGATGGGGATGACACCAACCCTCAGGAGGTCTAAGAGCAGCATCGTTAATAGAAGCCACCCAATCTTTAACTTTTGCACTACTCTTTGCCCTTATTCTTATACTCCTGTTCCCAGATGTTACCTGGGATATTTTAACAAAAGTTATATACATGGATTATCCATAGCTTTCTTGACATATGACCCCAGAAATATTTGTGCAGCAAAAGAGGGACAAGAAACTGAGGATGGTTCAAATTTTAGCTTATAATAGAAGGATTCAGTGGGCTACCACTTTAATTGACAACAAAAGAAATATCCTAATCTTCTTGGTTCTCAGTTTCCCACGGCGCATAAGTGACCATGCGTAATAGATATAAATTAGGAAATATAACTTGGACAATCTATTTTAGTTTCCATTAGAAGCATAATAAAAGAACAACATCATAGATTATCAAGCAAGGGGTATTGTATAAAAAGATTATCAAGAAAGCTTACATAGATGGAGTAAGCATACATACAATTGATTAAAAGATAAGAAGGGCAGTAACTGCTGACCTTGAATGCATGCCGCAAAGGATTATGATCCTTCAGTTCTACTGCTAGTGATACATCCACACCATCATTTCCATTAGAAACTGGCAGGACATCAAAAACAATTATATCTAATAGCTTCGCATCAAATGGATCTTCCAGTAACGCGAGAAAACCTGGCTTTAGTACCCCCCACACCTGTGCTGGAGAAAAAAAGAAACCTTATATACCATTTTGTCGTCACATTGATTTTGAATGTCTGTTCAGGAGCAAAGACATAAATTGTAAACGGAGAGAACTGTATTTGATAGCACATACATTGAAGAACATAAGGATCTAAAGCAGAGTTAGAAAAACAATTTAATTCTTTAAACTTAATATCTCACCACAGTGGTGAAGCATTCAGAGAAGTTTGTCTCAGAACACCTCTCCAGTGAGAGTAGTAACAAAAAATTTCATTACAAAAGAACTACTAAAGATGAAATCTATTTCTTCTGATACATGTTTTTCAAGGCACTCAACGAGTTCAGAGACAAAGCAAGAGTAGGAGAGGGGACAAGAATAACATAAGAACACATAAACAAAGCACACGAGTCATCCCATAGGAAACTCCAGAGGTAAACCAATTTTTCATAGCAAAATACATACTACACAAGTATGAGCAAGAAAATGAGAATTTTCATACCTTTTGCCAATTATCGTTGCAGCAACAGAACCAACAGCATCCACAGCATCTATTAGAATCATCATCACTCTTTGAAAATTTCGGTAGATGTTTTACCATAATATAGTCTTCTTTCAATTTGGGCCCATACTCTGGTGAGAATGACAACATCGAGACCTCCAAAAACCTGCACACCTATATTAGGCAATTTAGCATTTAACAATGCATGCATATAGCCTCGGAAATGGAATGACTCTCAATGTGTACGGGAATAAGTTTAATATGCATGGAAATTTTCAAATAGTCACTTGCTGTACTCAGAGTTCTAGCTAGAATAGAAGAGAAAACAACCCTTGACATAACTAGGTATTGACTATGATGAAGTAGTTGAACAACCAAGTGAAATAGATTATACAAATATACCTCCCGTGAATTGACAATATCAAGATTCCCTAGGAAATGATTCAGATATTCTTGCATTGCATGCTTTCCTCTGACTGATATGGACTGCTGTCTTCCCAAAGGACGAATGACTGGCAAAGCAGCGCTTGAGGGAACATCTCTGTACAAAACAGCCTACTTGTCAGAAAATAATGGCATCTATTGGAAGAGTACAGATGCACGTCATTATCGAAGCAAAAATAATGCCAACAAGTCTTACCTATTTTTGGCACTCTCATCTTGATGTAGAGGAACTTCATCAGCATCTTCATCTTGCACAACGGGTGCATGATCCCCTATTCCTAGATTTTGAAGCCATTCTTTAACCTTTAATGTGATATTCGAAAGAGAACCATATCAAAATCAGTTGAACATCAAGCGGGTAATTAAAAACGGCTAGAAACAGACCAAGGAAAAGCCTATAATATGTTGGGAAACAGAAACTAGTAGAAGAAGATTCCATGATATATCAAGTCACCACAAACCTGTTCCTGCTTCTCGTGAATTTCTTCAATAAAAGCACGTTTCTTCAATGCAAAATGCAAATAAAATACTTGAGATGCTTTCTTCACAAGTTGCCACTTGAACTGTTACATAAAAGCGCTAAAGTTAGGACTCAAGTCCACTGAAAAAAGCACCCTTTCCACTAAAGTAAGGAGAAACATATAAATATTAAGTCTCAGTTCCCGTTCAGGCATATAACATCGATCAATGGTCTCAGATTTAAGCATTTGTATGAATATAGTATTAAAGCTTATAAGAAGCCAAAAAACTAGGTATCCAAAGAAGTACTTGGATCAATAGTCAGACATGACAATTTACAGTTGATAGCCCTCTCCTCTAACTGATTCTGATCCAAGCATCGGACATTACTCTGACCTAAATGATTCCACGAAAGAGAAGAGAAGGACTCGCCTGCTTGTATTGGCACTCAATGGTGTAAGACAAGAGTACAGGGCTAATATCGCCAGCATCAGGCCGAGAGACAGAGACGATAACTGCTTTTGGTAATTCTTCAAATATGCGATTAGACTCCTGCGTAGGAGCCGGCGCAAACGAAAACAACGAAGAGACCATGGAAGGAAACTGCTCAGGCTGCATCTGAAAGTAGCGTCCTCCACCACCACTGGCGGGAGACATCAACTGCTCAGATGCCATTTTCTGATCTCTGCAAACTCGAAATACCCAATTCGATCGCTCAATTCAAGATCTAGCAAGACAAAACTCTCCGATTTCTTCCGTCGCTGGGAATTTCGATGAGAAAAGCCGATCAATCTGAAGACCAAATCGTAGGAAGATCAATCGAGAGCGAAGGAAGACAAATCTGAGGGAAAGTTCAAAAGTCGGGGGAGAGAGAGAGAAGAATGCACACGGGAGTGTTGGTTTTTGATTACAGGTGCACGAAGAAAGCAAAGTGAAAAAAAAAAAAAAAAAAGTGAACAACATGAACTACGTCTTCGTCGATTTTGACCTCTCTCTTTTTCCCGGTTACTTACTCCCATACCGGATCCGGCTATTATTTATTATTTATTATTTACATTATTTCTTTACAACATATGTAGAAAATAAATTAAATTAAATCAGTGATTATTACGTAAATAATCAAATTATCTTATTATATAGCTTTGTTTGAGATTCTCTCAAATTTTATTAAGAAATTTTGATATATTTATGAATCAAATCAATTGCTAGCTACTGTATTTATTCGGGAAAAACAAAAACTTACCCCACCTATTACATGTCGTTCAATAGATATCATTTTTGTTGTTGTCAAATCCAATATGAAAACCATTAAGTTAGTCAAATTGTGATTTACAT